TCTGAGAAGGCTTTTTGCGACAACTATAACAACAATGAAAGTTGACCACTCTTCTTGATATTTCTAGACAACAACACTTCCTCTTCTATGTCATTTCCTCTCCCTCCCCCTCAAAGCAAAATTTCTATGGTGGGAAGCCCCCCCCCCCTCAGAGTGGGTCTCACATTTTTGAAAGTTACTTTCAGGTTTATAAGAAATGTGCAGGTGACTTGTTCAATAAGCTTGGCTGCCCCTTTTTCTGCTTGAGTTATAGACTCTCAATAAATTTGGGAAGCCTCCCAGAAAACATTTTTGAAGGGCCACGAATCTTCGATCAAAAAAATTGTCCTCCCCCCCCCCCCCCCCCGAACGGAATTGTGCGTTTGGAACGTCAAATCCGGAGTGTCTATCTATAGGATGAGAAAATACAAATTTTGAGTGGAAGGTTTCAATTCAATAAAATAAATACAAATTTTTTTTCCTTTACCTGAGGTTGCTTTACAAGTTTCGAATTTTTGAATTTGGTTTTTTCAGTGATTGTTTTTAGTTGTCTATTATTGGGTATAGCAAAGTCGATGCGAACAAAGTGGGCTTAGATGGCCTTACAAAATCACACTCAAAACATTTCAAAATTCTTCTAAATAGAGCCCATAATGTATCATTAAAACATAAGAACTCGTCAATTCTAACAGCATAAATAGCGCGAGACATTTCTAATTTACGGGCGAGTACAGCGTGCAATTGCACACATTTCTGCTTCAACAACTAATGTATGACTTGTACTGCAAATTCGACTACTAGAATCCGAATTTCACCTCTCATTGGTCAGAAAATCAAAGCCCGAGATGTTCTTTGCTGTCCGGCGGCTTTACCTTCTCGAATCCTCGATGCGAGCGTATTTCCTCAATTCCATGCGTATCCTAAACGCATTTCAATCCCTTGAGACTCGTCCGCGCCGCGTCTCGCGGTGACCACTTGAAAGCCGTAGATCATCGCTGTGCTCATCACGCTAAGCGCAGCCGAGAGTAGACCGAGAGCAGGATGTGATTTTATTTATGGCTAACGGACATTTTTGGGGATCTTTGCGCTAGTTATGTTTACTATCGTTCTTTGATATATTAAGAGGAAATGCAGCAACTCATTTTGTTAAAGGAAAGAGCTTTAGGTAAATATTAATGGAATTTTCGCTAATTATAGGTGTTTAAAGAAAATTTTGTGCAATAATGAAATCCCAATTCAATTTTCTTCTTGTCCAATCTAAGCACAGATTTAATGAATTTTTTGTGAGCTGAAAAAGAGGAAAAAATTCTATTTTGTGTTTATCCTATAATGTTTTATTGGAAAGTAGCTCTAGCGTACCTGTAGCAGTCTTTTCCGGACAATTTCATTTTGGAGAGAAATCTGTTTTGTTTGATATGTTGTGTGCACTTGATCGCGAACACTTTATTCACTTATCTCCAAAACTAAATCAACCAGTCAATGTAATTTTACCTGTGTTAGATTTCTGCAAGGTAAGCTTGAGTACTCATTGTTATGCAATCATTGAGGGAAACGCCAACCCATTCGAGACACTGAATTTATTTTCAAAAGGAACTATATATGTAGATTAGCTTTCAAAAAAAAGAAATCTGAATGAACTTTGAGGAGGCAAATATATCTAAGCATGTATACAATCTAATTTTTCAAAAATCCAGAAATGTGACAAGTATCTATTGTTGTATGAGATGTCCTATTTGGAAAGAACAAACAAGGCTTGTCCTTTGGTGGAGTGAACAATAGGAAGCTATAAGTAAATCTCGACGATAATAATCTTGCCACATTCCTAGGAGTAACCCGTGCAGGCTAGCTAGCGTATAATATTCAGAGTTAGATTATTTTGCCTTCAATTTCTTGTTCATTTCGAACGTGTAGATAAGCCGATAGTTTAAGTGACAGATGTTGATTTTTTGAAGGTAGGTCAATAAGCTGCCATAACTGGTGCCAATGCTAAACTTTTTCTATTAATTCACAATTATTTGCAGTAGTGAATTCTGCAAAATATTTTTGACAGCAAACACTTCCTCGGATCGGTAATAACCCCAGAAATCTGTTCGCTTCTTTGGAAGTCATAGTAGTTTAAGCTAAAGTTACCAAAAGAATTCGAAGTTTCATCCCAATTCTTGAGCTTTCAAAGTTTTTAGAAAGATATGTAGAAGTTATATTTATTATAGAAACACACTTTCTGAGATTTTAACATGAGAATTTGACTTGGAAAAAGCCATTATTATGAATGCTTTGCAAATATCTTTCACTGCTCTATGAACAGCTCAAAATTACGATTATGAAGTCGTACATTTGTTTTAAGGCAATCATTGCATCTTTTTGGCAATATGGAAGCCTTAGTATTCATAGCTGAAAATGACTCTGCAAGTGAATTATGTATTTTGTTTATGCTTAGGTCTAATCTCTGTTAGTCATCAATATTCCAAAGAGTTTTTGAGAGCTCTAAAGGGACTTACTTCTGGATATAAATAGATTCAAATAGGTACAAAGTGACGTCAAGGTCATGTGCGTTCTATTTATATTATACGAAATTGCATAAAAAATAAGGACAATAAATTTGCAACATTCTGAGAGCATGAAAAGTTATTTTGCTGTCAGTTCTCTAGAAAAGATTCTACTCAATAAGCTAATGGATAGAAGTGTTCTGTTTTTTTTTAAACTGACTAAGAATTTGAGGTTTTGTGAAAGACCTTTCTAATATATTGAAATTTTGCACTTATGCACAATTATTTTTCATGTACAAGGAAGAACTAGCTTGATCATTTTTTATTCATTTAAATAGTTGCAAATATAGCCTTTGATTCCACTGCATTGGCGGCTAGAAGGAGGGGCTTCGTGACCTAACTAAGGCCAGAGAATGATCAAAGAGCACGCAGCGAGAGAGACGCAGACTGCGTCGCGTGCGCGAGCAGTCGCCTTCCAGTCGCCGATCTCGTTTCAAGGGGTACCACATGCACTTGAGAAATACGTGCATTCCAATTTCACCCACGAGTCCTACGTCTAGCCTAAATAATGCATAGTTTGGTAGCATCACTCAATGTCCAGAGGATTCATTATTTCTCACGTGATGTAAGCAATTCTTCAGAGTGGGCGCGTTGAACTTATTTGCATAGTACACTTTACGGGCTTCAATCCCTTAGGATAAAAACCCTTCTCAATCACACAGCTGCGCACAAAAATGTTGTCCTTTGGGAAACTAGTAGGTGAAAAACAATGAGTTGGACTGAGGGCTTCCTGTTCAAGAAAGTCTTCAGTTCTTTGGACGATCTTTCCTCCGAGGGAGAAGACTGGACGATAGCCATATATAATTCTGGGTTCACTAAATCGAACCCAGAATGATGGTGTCTCATGCGAATGTTTTTTTAGATCAGATGACATTTTGCAAAAGATGAGCTCTAAAATTAGAGGAATACCATTTTTGAGAACTGGTAAAATTAATCAATTTTTACTCCGTTCACTTCTCAACTTTCAATCTTTTGCAGATTGGTTGCTTGGAAAATGTCTTGGGGAGGGGGAATGACACAGGTTTTATCAAAATAAAGCGCTTTAAAATGTCAATAAAAAATTTCACTGCTGATATCCTTCAAGGTTTTCGGTTATACTAGTTATGTACAAGTCCTACATAATAATTCTAGACATGAGCAAGTTAATTTTTTTATCATATTTAGAAAATTTGCTGTGTTGTTCTGCTTGAGAGCACTGTACCCCTCTTGCCATGCACAATAATGATCGCTCGAATTCAAAAAATGTTTGTAAATAATGATTTTCAAGCTCTGAACTTTGCCCACTATTAGCGTGTGCCCTTCTCATGAGCACCTTAGTGGTAAACCCAAATAATCATGTAATTTTTAATATTAAATCAGAGATCATGATAGAAGCCTTGACAGCACATAAAATCATTTGAAAACACCAAACGCCCCTGAAACGCTAACTTTGGGATTTGATACAATAATTCGCTAGTTTTCGATAGAATCAGTTTTTGTAATACTATTTCTGCGCACAAAAAATTGCAAAATTTTCTTTCAAATAATTAAATAATTGCGAAAGCTCTCTGATCTGTCGATTCTTGTAAAAGTCACCGGAACAAATACGGAACTCGAAAACCTCATAGTTGTGAAACCAATTTTTGAAAAGGACATTGGAGTCATTACATCCAGCCACACTTCCGCAAAAGTGCAATACTCCCTATCACTTTCAAATGTGTGAGTAACTCTCCAAAGTTACATCTGCGAACCGCCACTGAGCTTTCATGACCAAAACAATTGGCTCAGGCGGCCTATTCGGAGCTTTTGGCTAATCGAGACTTTATCTCGGGACGCAGAGCTTCACAGCCAAATACGAACAGGTACGATGACGACAGCGAGGACAGCGTTCTAGTCAGTCGATGGAAAATTGCCAGCAGTTAAGGGATCCTCCAGGCTTTTTGGGAAGGTAAAATTACCAAAAAAGACGCACTTGGGAACATTTATGATAAAGCGACGATTTTTGGAAATATTCGCTAATCTTCTAAGCGATATTATTCTGGCAGAATCTGCGGCATATTCTGCCAGAATAATATCGCTTAGAAGATTTTTGCGGACTTAACCTGATTTATGAGGGTAGGGTGTAATCGTCATTGTCTGCTGGGGTCTTCCAGTATTTGAAACAATTTGGGAATAATTAAACAATAGAGATCAAAAATTCACTTTGAGAGAATACAGAGAGCAAAATTTATGATTGCATATCTATTTTTATGTTTTTACGCATGTTTTAGACATCTTTAACTAATTTTCTTTTTGTGGGTTGGATAACCACTCTGATCCTAGTTACTTTAACACCGGCGGAAATGGCAGCATATGAATCGAGTGTAATATACCTCATCCAAAATTTTTTTTTTAACTTGTGGAAATTTTTTCAAAGTCAAACAGATAATAAATGGTAGAATATTCAAGGAAAATATTGGCTTTTCTCTATCTCTATATAGATAATCTATATTCTAGGTAGTCTACTCCTTAGTCTACGCCCTCATCTTCATCGTCGGCGTCATTGGCAATGGTCTGCTAATATCATCAGTTCTCTTGCGAAAGCGCTCTACAGTAGCTAATGTATTCCTAGTAAATCTTGCTGTATCCGACTTGGTAGGCTTATGAATGAAATGATTTTTGGCTTTTATGAGACTCTGACGCGAAATGATGAAACGTTGATTTCAGTTACTATGCATCACTGCGGTGCCAATTACACCCGTATTGGCATTTATGAAAAGATGGATGTTCGGACTCGTCTTATGTAAAATCGTACCATCGTGTCAGGCAATATCAGGTACGAAATCGTTCGCGTTTCGATATAATCTTCAAATTTCAATGAAATATCACGTCATTATCAGTTTCAGAATTAATTTAGCGCCGATGACGCGCAATCTAGTGAAAGTCTTGAGAAAGATTGATGAAGTTTCGCAACATACTTTTCATTATGACTATAGTAGTTTTTCAAAATTATTTCACTGGGAATTGATTTCAAAACAAAAGTCGGATGAAAAAAAAATTTAAAAATGGATATCTAACTACGAATTCCTCTTAGTTGGTAGAAGGTGACAAGATCATTCCTTAGGATTCAGTTCTTCAGACTAACAAACTTTTTACGAATCAAATTTAGTGATCAGTGTCGCCGAACTTCAAAAGAACGTAATCTAGTGTTTCTGCATTAACAGCTTGTATCGATGCCACCATACAACAATGATCTTCGAGGTACCCTAAAATGCGCATGATTTTCTTTGAATGACGAAAATAAGATTCAAAATTTTTGATGCAAGGTCCATGCATCTGATTGTGAGTAAATGTGACTCGTGTAATAAATGATAACAGATTGAAAAATTTTTGTAAGAATCAAAGTGTCTCAGCGAAGCAGGGTTTCGGTTTGTAACAGCAAAATCCTCGATGCCTTTTTTGAATCTACTGACGTTTCTAGCTCTTTACTATGAGCCACTTCACAGCATCTTATAGCTTCATATCATCATTTCTGAGACTGTGAATCATATGAAAACACTCGTGAATGTCACATACTAATGCTGCTGTCATATCTGATTAGTATGAAACTGTGAAGCAATATCAAAAATTTTGTAGTCTTGCTTCGAAACTGATTACGAGCTGTTTATGACCTTTTATGTGAATTTCCAACCTTCCAACTTTCATTGTTGGAATGTGAATGACAGATTGCATGCTTTTATATAGTAAGTTTGAGGGAACTAAGAAACAGCTATAATTTGACTATTGTTGTTTTAATTTTGGCGCTGACTTATTATTGATGATCGTGATAATTCTGGCGTAATTTTAGTGTTAATCTCCTCATGGTGTCTCTGTTACATTGCCATAGATCGTTATCGAAGCATAGTGACACCATTGAAGGAGCCATGGAAATTGAAACATGCTCAGGTGAGAAAATTTGCTCTAAATAAACGCCGTTGTTTGGTCACAAGAATCATGTGTGTACTCCGAGCATGTGCATAATATTTAACACTAGCTGGCTTACCCGGCTCCGCCGTATGTTCCGAATAGAAAATTCCATTTCTTAACCGATCCGGACCAAACTTGGCACACATACACTTCGGGCGATCAGCATGCTCGATTACCCCCTGTGCCAACTCCCAGCCCCGTAGCTCAAATTTTGCAAAAAATCGATAAAATCGATATCGATCGATGGCGAAAAGTAGCCTATGACACCCGCCGGGGCCCGAAGTGTATGTGTGCCAAGTTTGGTCCCGATCGGTACAGAAATGGAATTTTCTATTCGGAACATACGTACAGACAGACATACATACAGACAGACATACAGACAAACAGACATTCAGCTTTATATATAAGATGCGTACACGTTGCTTCTCTAACATAATACATTCGAATTTTAAATTTTTTTTATTTTTCTTGATTCCTGAATTTCAGCGACTACTCATTTGCACCTGGGTTATGGCAATGATTACTTCATCACCGCTGTACTTTTCACAATCTCTGAAAACGCTCACTATGGCCAATATCACTCTTTGTGGAGAGGTATGTTCGGTTTTCGAAACTTACACTAAAATATTAACCAAACCTTCGAAAGTGCCCAGGAAATATTTGCATCTGATACCTTAATTCTGATTGGGGAGGCTTGACTAGCATAATTATGTAGTGCCCAAGCGGAGCTCATACGACTCATTCGCGGCAGAGAAATTCAACTTTCAACCCTCGCCCACTACCGTAGTTCGCTGACTGGCTGGTGTGAAAAGGGTACAGTCTGGGCGACATGGCGAGAGTTTTACGTGCATTTCTTAGTCACGAACTAATCATAGGCGCTGCTGCTTCACTAAATCAGCCTTACCAGTGGTTTTGTTATAAGAAACCTAGGTGCTTAAACTTGCCTGCCCTTAGCATTCAGTTTCTTATTCTCAATAACTTTTCTAAATTTGCATTTGAGACGAGAAAGAGTATGCTTTCCATCTCAAGAAGTTCACTTGATTCCAGTTCTGCGGTGAATTCAATTGGGACCAAGAAGAACACACTAAGCTCGTCTACGGTTTCTCATTACTGGTTGTACAGTTCGTTATTCCTGCACTAATCATGTCATTTTGTTATTGGAAAATTTTACAAAAGGTAAGTATTATATTATACATAGCTTATGCAGTTGAGGGTTCGCTTAGCCCTATTACAATGGTATATCTCCTTATATCTCCTCAGGTTTATCGTCATGGCCAATCTATTTATGGGACACTGAGTAAATATCTAAACTCATTATATTAAACAGATATTGGCACGCGACCGTGCTTGAGTCATGAGTGCATGTTTATCAATTCGTCATATGATGTGCTATATTTATCGCAAAACCTTCTTGGCATTAGAGAATGTTCAAGCTGAGTCTAAACGAGATCAGCAGTAAAAACTCACTGAAATCTCATAAGCGCATGTGATAACAGTACGTAGATTGAATCGGCTGTGCATGCTTGAGAACTAAAAACGAAAATGTTTGCTGACTGCTGTTTGCTGTTTGCTTTATTGGAAGATTATCGTTTGATCTCTCAGATGCGGCCTCTTTTCAAAGTAGAAACGAAGACTAATAAGATTTCTGCATTAGCTATTCCATAAACGTAAGAAAATAACAAAAAAAAAGGCTTCTAGCATATCGATAACCCTCATACCCATGTTTTGGTGAAAAGTTACATTACGCAGTTACTTTCAATTTGGGTGGGGATTTCTTAAAAACGAGTCTGACCGTTATTAATTTCAAAATTCAGTGCTTTTTGGCTTGAGTTACGGTAGTAAGCGCACCCATTTCCTGAAAAGTAGGATTTAAAAAATGTAATTCACTTCCCTTCTATGATACATACTAAAATAAACCTTTCACTGCGTTTCGGGGTTCCCGTGCCAGCTCCGTTCCAGTGTCGTGTCGGAGCCGACTATTACAGCGTCGGACTGCAGAAACGTGCCCTGCATCAATCAAATACTGATGGCACAGTTCCGGCACAGCATTAGCACGGCGCTAGCACAGGCAACTCTGTAAGCAGCTTTGAAGGCCAAATTCTCTTCCGTAGAGTGGAGGCCATAAAACTCTTGAAACATCAGCTAAATTGTAATACTAGCTGATCTCTCCATAGTTCAATCCGCATTTGATTCCTTTGGGCTACCATTATATGCGGTAGAGGAACTCTGACTTTTTTGGATGCATCAAGGAATTATGAAAAGAAAGGCTGTGATGACGATGTTGTCGTCAACTCTCGGACGTCACTGAATCACATTGCTGCAATGTCAGTTACTTTCGCAAAAGGTTGATAAGTGGCTAAACGCATTCCGGAAAATGCTGAGGAATTTTTTCGAACACGCTACGTAATAGCTTGTTATGTCAATCTGCAATATCATTCCTTCTAGACCTTAGGCTTATGACAACAACATGTTTGGTGGAACTTGCTGTGATACTGGGCGGTATTCAGCAGCAGGGATAAAATAGTATTTAGTATTAAGATCTTGAAATTCAGAAGGTTTTTGAAAATTAAATGAAACTTACTCACTGAGAAGTGAAACCTGATTCTAACTCTGATTCGTACAAGCAAAACTGAAAAAACAATAAACATTGACGGAAGTGACCTAAAATCAAAGAGGATATGAATGACCTCCGAAGTGAACCATAATTTTTTTAGAAGCTATGAAATCTATGAAATGAGTCTCCATTAGTCGCTAAGAAAGAAGTATAATAACTTATTATGTAACATTATGCTGTCCAGCATTTGTGTCGTGGCAGGCCGTTGCAGTGCCATGCTGGTGCCGGCTCTGGCACGGCGCAAGCACGATGCTGGCACAGCGTTGAACCGGGGTGTCAGTACATGAGCAAGTGGAACTGTCTCAAAAAAAATTTCACTCAAAGTTCCCAATTTTTTGGATGGCTGATTTTGACAGGCGCTTTTTCCGCTTTCCTCACACTATAATGCTTTCTTTTGCAGGTTCGAGCTGATTGGATAGTCGAAGAGGGTTCTATGTTGACAGCAGCTCAACAAGCTCAGGTAGGAAAGAATTATCCTCTGTGACTCGAATACGATCCAATTTTTTTATAGACTGCAGTGCGAAAAAGAAGAGTGATGTATGTGCTAATTCTAATGGTTGTGGTGTTTATGGCAAGTTGGTTACCATTGTCAGCCGTCAACTTGATAAAGGATCTAGAGATTCCTTTGGTGAGTAACCTCTACGTAAATTTCGAAATGAAAAACGCAGAAACCTAAATCGAAGAAATTGATTAAACGGAACCGAACTTTTGATAAATCTTTCCCAGTCCAACCACAAGCATATCTGCCAATATGAGTATTCGCAACTTTCATAAAGCAACATGCTATATCCTGGTAATAATTAGGTTTCTCCAAGAATTTCCTAGTTTTTTGTCTGTATAAACATTCATTTGAGCACACATGCATCTTATTATATCGAAGGTAAATTCGCTTCCTCATCATAGCTACTTCCTTTATCTCTTTGCAAATACGTGGGGTAGATTCTAGAGGAAAAAGAAATCAGGAATGAAAAGAATTTGGGAGAATACACGTACAGCTGTCTACCTGAGCTAAAGGAGTCAAAATAGGTAACAAATTTAATGAAATTCGAATTATGTAAAACTGCAGAAAATTTTTTGGGGTGTAGCTATATCCCATTACAAGCTAGAAAAATCTGGAAAAATTTCCAGAATTTTTTTACAGGGGTGTGACTAGCGCCATTTTCATTATCAAGAATTCCCTTCCTCTCCTAGCCCTGAAAAATTTTTTTCGTGAACTAGCAGAATTTGCGGAAATGAGTTCAACTTCCTTATCAGTGGAGGATTTTAATTTATCCAGATTGTGGTAGGCATGATGGCAATAAGGAATATGGATAATTTTGGCATTGATGAATATTGCTATAAGTCATGACTGAGATTATTTGTGCCTTGACTTGTGAAGAAAATTAAAAGATTTCTTCATGCTGTACGAGCTAATTCCAACGCACACATAATTTTTTTCTTCTTTTTGTGTAATACCTTAATAAAATACATCGTTCCTTATAATAATCTATCCTCAAAGTTCTGGCACCATCGCGCATTCATCTGAATATCAATAGCGCTGCATAGATTGAAATTTCCATTACATCATGATGTAGTCTTTACTTGGCTGGTTTCAGATATTAGAACAGATGTACTTCAAACTACTCAATGTACATGCAATCGCAATGACGTCAGTGGTATGGAATCCATTGCTGTACTTCTGGATGAGTAAGGTCAGCTGCTGAATCTTTTAGCGATTCGTAATTTGTAGGGTAACAAACATTTTTCAGCGACATCGTCGAGCTTTGAAGGACGACATGACCTGGCTGACAAATGTTCGAAGGCATACGAATGTTGGAGTACTGTCACGGTTCACACCGTCTCCTTCAGTGTCGCTGGTGTACCGACGGACACTTGAGCGGCATTTAGGCGTCCATAACTTTAGGTGGGAAAGGTTGAACATACTTTAGACTTCACCATAGAAGCACTGCTAGCTCAATTTCCATGTATTTCGGGCAACTTGTCCGTAGAATTCCGGGAGAAAAAACACCTACATATTGAAAAAATTTCGCCTTAAACATTAGGAACCCTTATTACTTTTCTGATAACTTTTCTGGACTACAGAAATTGAACATTGCGAGATTTTTGTTGAGTATATTCCTATACATCTGCTTGTGGCTATAAGTTTATCTCCTGGATTGGCTCCAACCGTGTTTCAACACGGATCCACTTTGCTTGTTGAACCGCGGACTACGCGCGGTTAGAAAATGATAATAATTGGTTAATAAGTCTACAAAGTACACGTCGAAACAACTTTAGCAAGAACCCAAGTAAAGAACATCTCTGGAAAAAGCTCAGTTGGCGCCAGCTTTACGCGCGTCAGTTTAGTGTCAGATCAGATCTGGATTGGACCGAATCGGAACATCCTTTTGCATCTGTTGTGCCTGAAAAAGAGAAAAAAATTACTTTTTCGGTTGACGAGCTGTAAGGACATAAATGGGGTAAACGCGCGCATAAACGCGCGCAACGTACAGTCTCACAAATCAAGACTACACTATGAAATCGTACTATAATCAACGATGCTTTCGCTATAATATCACGCTTAGCTTATTTCAAGCGTGGAGTAGCCCAACATTTGTTGATGTTTGTTTGGTTCTGTGCTATTTGGCATATCAAATCGTGCCGAGACATCCTTCTTTGCCATACTCCTGCTCCGCATTAATCATTGCCGGGAAAACAACTCGAGCGCATGCAATCAAATTACTCCGAGAGCACATAGGAAATCTTGGGACCATGAGAAGTTTGCTCTTTTTGGGAAGAGGCATCAAATAGGATCCATATAAAAATTCTTGTACTTGAGCCTACAGGGAAACCATCATAAGTGTAAAAAATTCAATTTGGACAACTTTTTTGATTATGATACGAAATATCCGAAAAATGGTTTGTATCTCATTTATCCTCTGTTAATAAGAAATAACTAAAGAAGCATTACTCAACCTTTTTGTCTATTCTACAGAAAGGCATTAATATCGGAAAATTCCAACTAATGATGCACTTTTGATTGCATTATACTTTCTCACATGTTCTTCTGTTCAGACATTAGCAGACCAATTAATACTCAAGCCTTTGTATGTATATTTTATGGAAAATCGAGATCGAGAGGTTCAGAATCAGAGAACAGTAGCACTCAAAAAACGTGTTGACCATCTTCAAAACAAAATCCATGTTTTGATGCAAATAAGGGTGTCAGAATTTCTTTTGTTAATGATGATAACAATAAAAGATAATAAATAATAAATAATAAATAATAAATAATAAATAAAATAATGGTAAGTAATAATAAACAATAATAAATAATAATAAATAATCAGATGTAGAAGTTAGATCGACCACAACCATCAAGCAACTATAATTTTATGACCGCTTGTGTCATAAAAATGATAAACAAGACCTACCATTTTCTTCCTAAAAAAATTGGCTGTAATTGTAAATAATATCTGTGGCTGTGCTTTTCTCAAATTTCTGTAGGTAAGAGTGGGGGGGGGTCTACGAAAACACTAAACAGTGACATGTTAGTCTTGGCATAACATTGTAGTCGATTACAATACCAAACTTTCTTGTTTTCTACCAGCTTTCCGAAATTATCGCCATGACTCTAATTATAAAGAAAATATTGAACAAAGTTTTGCGGAAAGGAATCTGCTCGTTTATACTTCACTACTCCAGACGAGGAACGCTTGCGGATCCAACGTGTATGTCTCGAGAACGAGCACAAGCTGATCTGCACTCAAACTGTTTCCTACTCGTACCACTCATGCCATTATGTCAGTCGGTCTCGCGAAGAAATAGTCATCTTTCCACAGATGATCCAAGGTGAAAATTTTTTTTGAATTTTCACTGCGCTAAAAATTATGATTTCAGAAGGCCTCTATCCAAGCAAAACAGTAGAAAAACAAGTGCTGCATCGATAGCCATGACCAAAAAGAGGTGAAACCCTGATGGTACTACGCTGACTAGATAAAATTGTGGCACTTTTGGTCATATTGACCTAATTGACCACTTTCTATAGGATAATACAGTATTGACTGCTCAGAATTCTGTTGTAACATATCTTCCGTGATATTGTCTCATTTTGTGTATGTAAGCATGTAATAGACGACATGTGTGACATTTTGATGAATGTATATGTCCATGTAGATGGATTGTTTGTTTGTTGTCTCGGTGAATACGCATGCAATAGTCTGGACTGAATAATTACTAGGAGGACAATTCACGCGCATTATTTGGGATTGATGTCTAGGGGACAGGAATCTTCCAGGACTGTAAAGGACCCGTCATACGCTCAAAAGCGCCAGAAAAGTCCAACAAGCTCGATAAAGCTCGCAAAAGCCCATAGAAGCCCAAAAAGCCCAAAAGCGCCAGGAAGTGCCACTTCCGCGCGCACGTTCTGGCATGTGTGTTGTTTTCGCAACCAAGTATTTTTGGTTCCTTTCTGTCGTCTCCACACCAAATAATGTCAGAATTCTACCAAAAGTTCGTTTCTGCATTCCGGCTTTTTCTGGCGCTTTTGGGCTTTGGGCGGAGTGTGATGGGTCCTTAAAAATTAACCTAGGTTTCAAAGGCCGGGAGCGAAGAACGGAAAACGCTGCTCTTGCTGCAACGTAAGCACAGTCAAGTTGTCTGAGATAATTTTCCTTATTCATTTCTGATAAGATCGAAGTCTCCAAAATTTTGCTGCGTGTGTACATCATTGTCTAAGCTTGGTTTTGAGCCCGAATTCAAATCAAAACCGTTCCTTTACATTTGGAAACTGCTACGTATACCTCCATTTGAGGTGTTTGTGGAATAAAGAAGTAGGACGCTGTCATGGAAAAATGAAAGTTTTCAAAAGCCAGGTTTTGCTCAAACGTACAGAAATTTGATTTGGATCAAAAGCATCATCTTAAACAAAATTCATCACTAAGAACAGTACTCTCTGTACAAACACACAATCACATGCAGTCTGTGTCTTGCAAAACGGATAATGATGCAGTTTACATGAGAGAAAATTGTACTCATTATGATTAGCAAATTTATTTTTATTTTCGGAATTGCTTGGCTAATGAAATGTCGCAAATAAAAAGATCAAAAAAGAATTCTCTTCGAAAAATACAGTGTTGACGATTTGGAACGCAACAAAAGTGCATTATACCGGGAAAATTTTTTTTGAATTCTCCTTGAAATTTTTATGCTTAATGCTCAAGGCTCCCAATAAAATAGAACAATAATGTAGAATCAACATATTAGGTCGTTCCGAAGGTAATGTCGCTTTTTCAAGTGAACGCTACATTTCGTGGAAGCAATATTTCTAGGAGGTCTTGGTAGCATTCGATGCAGGATTTCATTCTCTTTCTAATGGTCATACGAGCATTGCACAATAATCGATAAGCTCCAAAAAAATCATCAAAATGCGACTCATGCTTTTTGAGAAGGTCAAGTTTCACAATTTTTCTAAATTTTTACAGCAATTCTCCGAAGGAGTCCAAGTAACAGTTGGGTTGAGCAAACCCTATAGGAAACAGCACGATTTTTTTCTACTCTCCATAGCTCGTCGCAATCTTTGTAGAGATTTTCCAATGGAATCACCGAGTTTTAGCAGGCCTGTCTTAGACATAAATGCATCAAACACCAATAAATTTTCGGATTTTGAGAATTACAAAGGTGGATTATGGTTTGTCACTAATTTTGCAAAGCAAATGAGCGCTTACCGCTCCAGATTAGCAACTTTCAGAAATTTCGGGTACGGCCTGTGGCGTCTTGGAAAACCTAAATTATGATGATTTTATTCCGAAAAACTTCATGAATCGGAAACAAAAAACAACTGGTGGAAAGAGGAGGAGAAGCTGCATTGAATGACACCCGAGTTGCTTGCCGGTTGTTGTTCTGCGAGGTTTGACTTGACCAAATATGGAATTTGATAGCACTGAAAAATTGATTCTACAAGCTCTAAGAAGCAAACTAAGGAAAAGAAAAAAATTGTTTTGTGTCCTATAGGGTTTGCCCTATTTATCTGTTACTTGCACATCTCGGAGAATCAGTACAAAAATGTAGAAAAATAGCCGAACTTGACCATGACAAAAAGCATGAGTCGCAGGTTTTGGTAATTTTTTGAGAGCTCATTGAATATTATGCAATGATATTACAACCTTTAGAAAGAGGAAAAAAGGCTGCATCGACTGATCCCAAAAGCTCTTGAAAATCTAGGTTCCACGAAATGTGGCGTTCGTTTGAAAAAAGCGACATTACTTTCGGAACGACCTAATAAATAGGAAAAATAGTTTTTCCACCTTCTTTTCGTGCTGAAATGACCAATTTGATTGGTCCAAACCTGACTTCAACAGAAGTTTCTCGTCTCGCTAATGAACGAACTATGCATAGTGTTAGAAGACATCTACCTGATTACTGTGATCAGGAAAAAAAGGTGAAAGTGCATGAGATAAGAGAATTCCTGCAAATTATGGCTTAACTCTTCTTGTATTTGTATGATTCATGAGGTTGGCACAAAAAATTCACATCATTTTGAAATTCTCTCCATTCCATGAAATCACTTACCGTGGTATCAGTAAAGCAAGGAAATCTTGCGCTTTTCAGAACCTGAGGGCTTCTGCATGATTCATGAAAAAAAACATAGTTATTGCTGAATCTCCCAGAACATTTGCTGAAACCCAATCGTAGTTTGGTTCTTCGTTTTAACTTGATTTTTGTATATAGTAAGACTTCTGCTTGTTGTATGGTTTCACGAATATTTCCAGCGATACTCGCTCTCGCAACGTATTTTAGTGGATCATCAAGACGCCGTTCCCTCTGCGGTTCATCCCTTGATTCGGTGGTTTCTTGAGACCCAAAACACTGTTCCTTCTTTCCTCCTTGAATAACATTGAACGTTCTAGAGTCACGTAAAAAAACGTCTTTGTATTGGGCGCCACCCAGCACATTTCCCTGTCATAGATGACTTTTTGAACTGAGCGCCTTCCTCCATTTATCATAATCAAATTTTCCTCATCCATTCATTGTTCTCTCTGCTTAAAAAAGAGCGATGTGCTCTTTTTTTAAGCATGTGCAGAATGGAGTTCAGAGATTCTTTCTCAGCTCTTGTTCCCATTTAATTCAACTGGAATCACCTAATGCGAGGTCGCAGTGAACAATGAGTTAGGTAGTCAACGAAGATTGTTCTTATAATTCTCAGTTTGACATCATCATAAAAATACCGATAAAGCGGTAATTCAAGGGCAGAATGAGTGTTTTGAATGTGCTTCCAACACCCATATGAGAAATTGACGGCTTGTCGACATGGAAATTGAAACTTATGGCCACCAACGCGAATTAACTTCTTCTTGGTGATGGCTAAACCTTTCAGGTGTTAGTGGAAAAAAGGTTTGTGGAACTCTTCCGATCTCATTTTCCATCGCGTTTTCCACTGTTTGCTTCCTTTAGTCGGACTGTGAAGTTCCGAAACTGATGGACACGCTGTAGAACAATGGTTGAACAAGCAGGATCAAATGACATCAAAGTCGAGAATATACAGTGGGCAAACTGTAATTTGCTCAGTAGTATTTTCTAGTATCTCTACAAAACGCTTTTGCCTTTCATCTATCAAATTGCGATTCTTTGTGTTTTGGTGCCGGGCGTCTAAAACATTAGTTAACCCCAAGAATGATTTCTTTTATATTTATAACTTTCGGCGATGTTCTTCCCAAACACAAAACTCTTTATTGTCATTTTTGAAAGAGAATCCTATGTTTCAAGATGGAGCCTTGGTAGTGTTGAGCTGGAAAGAATCTTTGAGGTTTTGAAAGAAATTGAAAAGTGCACAGCAGGGCTTGGCAAAATAGCAGGGGCAAGCTATTCAGCTATTCCTGTGCGTAAAAGCAGAGAGAATCATAGTGTGTATTCGTCCAAACATGCATGGGTGAAGAACTATATGTCGCCGAAAGTGTGAGGGTCCCGCGGGACCATGCAGTAGATACTCAGCCTGTGCTTGTCGGAATATGTATAGTTCATTTACGAAATCGTGACGACGGATTCTACTGCGGACTTTAGCCCACAGGAGCGTAAAACGCTCATACAGAAGGCATCACCTCAACGTTCAGCTCAGTCACTTCCAGTGTCCAAATATTTTCATACGTGAGCAAAAAAACCACCAAAATAAAAACCAAGAAAATGCGATTTCCGGAAGTGGCGTGCGTGTCGCGCAGTCGTCATGAGGTTTCAAACGCCCTGTATTTGTTGCAGATGTCCGGTGTCCTCCCACTTTCGCGACATATAGTCCGCTACCCTGGTTTCGACATTCCAGTTGGTACGAATGCAAGTCACAGGTGTCTACCAATTACTAGATCAGACGAAAGTTCTTTCGCACCGTATTCAAAAATTCATGCCTGTCTTCCTTTACAGATTTGCAAGCGATTAACTTTGTTTGAAAGAAGGAGTCGTGTATTTATAAATGCTGCATGTAGCACGATTCCTGATGCATAGATATTGCGTAGATAGATGCGGTGAAAGAAAGTCACTCAACATTTATTTTTCTTGTTTTGATCATTAAAGACTGAAGTTGAAGAGAGGTACGATACCGTTCACATTTTTTGAAAAATAGACGCGAATATACATGCATGTTGCTACATGTATGGACATGTCGCTACATGTCCATACATGTAGTGACATGTCGCATTGATGCTACATGTCGCTATATGTATGACATCACCGTCGCGTGGCCATATCTCGCTTCAGAGTGGACGAATTCTGAATGCAAAGCAATCATTCGATTCAGCTTGGCGCGGAGAATTTTCTGATATATCGGAAATGGGGGTACGATGTCTTAGATATTTCGTTTGGTTTTTTCAAATTCTTCTGCGGAGGTCCTTTCGCGATTATGTGAAGCAGCGCCTATCCAACATAGAAGACTTTACTAAGTACTGTTCGATAATACTGTCTTGTAGATTATTGTGCGCTAAAATT